AACGAGTCTGAGCTTCAGGCAGATTCAGTTTGATCACTTCTCTGTGAAGCAGAGCAGATATTTGACTCCCAAGCATGCTCAACAAAAGCACAAAGCTATTCATAAAGTGACAGTTGTGACCTTTGACCCTATACTATAAACAGCCAGCTAGGACCTAAGAGGTCAAAGGCCAAACATCAAGTCTTAGCTCATCGGTGATATATTTATTTAAAATAAACCTTTGCTGTGTTAGTGAAAAGATTTTCTTTCTTTCTTTCTTTTTTTCATTGAGACGATAGAGATGATCCTTTTATATGAAACTGTTCATGTTTATGGTTTTAAAAAACAGATTTTTCTCTTGTTTATTTAATTGTATTTGCCTATGCACTATTGCTGAATTCAACATTTTTATTTGACTTTAATGGACTTTGTGTTGTTTTCTCATGTGACATTAACACATTTGACATATATATATTTTTAAATCTCTTTCATAGATTACTCTACAACTCCTACCTGCACCATGCATAAAAATTCAGGGTTTATTTTTGTCTCTCATTTACACAGGAAATGACCAATTCTGCAGTTCTGGCATGACTGATGAGTCTGTTGCAGGAAATATAAACTCATTATTGTAAAACAACCAAAAAAGGTGTTGCAACAAATCTGTCAAATCAAAATACCACTGAATTGCTTGAGCTGTGAACTGTTTTGTTTTGTTTTTAATCATCAAGAATTGAGCCAGTTTGAGCCTTGGTGGTTCCTGGATTAGTAATAAACATTCTAAACAGTTTTCTTTTATCTGAGGGCAACAGATGCAGCTAATGATCACTAAAGAAAAGTATTAGTGTTGCTAAGCTAAAATACACTACAGACAGTTTAGCACCACTTATCAACAGTTTTAGGTGAATATATATTTGATAATAATGAGGAATGATAATGCATCAATCTCATATAGCACTTTTCTAGACACTCAAAGACATTATTCATTCATACACACATTCACACACTGAATACGGTAGACTACACTGTAGCCACAGCTGCCCTGGTTCAGACTATTATTTGAGGCTGTATGTATAAGTTTGATCTTGTGTGGATCATAGAAAATCTACCTGCTCTCTAAAGACAATAGGAAAGTGGGATGACAGTATGTATCCACAACTACTGTGACATGAAGAAGAATGTGACAGGACATTCAGGCCCTGACAGATCACACACCGACCAACAGAGATGACCATCAACTTCCCCAAATTGTTGAACAACAATATTTAATTTATTTATTTGGCAGGGACAATGCATATTAATTGATTGATATTGCTGTAAATGCAGGATTAGCCAAAAGGCTATTTTTCGTCTGTTGTCCCTGGACTTTCTAAAAACTGCACTGATGCCTCACAGCAGGAAGGTCCTGGGTTCAATCCCCAATTCGGACCTGGGGTCTTTCAGTGCAGAGTTTGCTCGCTTGCATGGGTTTTCTCCGGGTACTCCTGTTTCCCCAACACCCCTAAAAAATTTGTACAATAGGTTGCCTTCGATCCCAGGCCACCCTTGAAAACGAGGTCTGTGATCTCAACGGGATTTGCCTGGTTAAATAATGTAAATAAATAACTAGCAAAATAAATTAAAAAGTAAAATCAAAGTGTGATTAGCTGCATCTGTTGCCCTCAGTAAATAAAAAAGTATAATAAGAAGTAACAGAAATCCTTAAAACTAATTTAATACTTCATTAAAATGGCAAAACACAAGTGGTCACATGGTGGAATTAGGAGAAGGCAGTTATTATTCAAAATGTTGACCAATCTGATGTGTTATAAGCCAATCCTTTATCTGTTTTTAAAATAGATTATATGTGAATATAATATATTTATTGAAGCTCTCAACAACACACGACTACTACAATGCAAACCCAGCTCTTACGAAGACGTGTTCTGCATAAGGTTGACCTATCTAAAGTCAACTTATGGAAAACTGCTGGACCTGGTAACAACTTAGGAAGAATACTGAAAGTTCTAACTAACCAGCTGGCTGATGTGATCAGTAACATCTTCAACACCTCTCTGTTTCAGGCTGTGGTTCTTTCCCTTTAAGCTTCACATAAACTATTGTCATTCCCAAATCTAAAAATCAGCGATGACATTTCCCTACAACTATTGCCCAGTGGCTCTGATTCCCATCGTGACAAAGTCCTTCACCACTGCAATTTGCTTACTGCCCTAACCACTCCACCTCTAATTCCATCTTGTACACACTGCTCCATCTCTCTTGGACAATAAGGACATATACACTCACCGGCCACTTTTTAGGTACACCTGTCCAACTGCTCGTTAACACTTAATTTCTAATCAGCCAATCACATGGCGGCAACTCAGTGCATTTAGGCATGTAGACATGGTCAAGACAATCTCCTGCAGTTCAAACCGAGCATCAGTATGGGGAAGAAAGGTGATTTGAGTGCCTTTGAACGTGGCATGGTTGTTGGTGCCAGAAGGGCTGGTCTGAGTATTTCAGAAACTGCTGATCTACTGGGATTTTCACGCACAACCATCTCTAGGGTTTACAGAGAATGGTCCGAAAAAGAAAAAACATCCAGTGAGCGGCAGTCCTGTGGGCGGAAATGCCTTGTTGATGCCAGAGGTCAGAGGAGAATGGGCAGACTGGTTCGAGCTGATAGAAAGGCAACAGTGACTCAAATAACCACCCGTTACAACCGAGGTAGGCAGAAGAGCATCTCTGAACGCACAGTACGTCGAACTTTGAGGCAGATGGGCTTCAGCAGCAGAAGACCACACCGGGTGCCACTCCGTTCAGCTAAGAACAGGAAACTGAGGCTACAATTTGCACAAGCTCATCGAAATTGGACAAGAGAAGATTGGAAAAACGTTGCCTGGTCTGATGAGTCTCGATTTCTGCTGCGACATTCGGATGGTAGGGTCAGAATTTGGCATCAACAACATGAAAGCATGGATCCATCCTGCCTTGTATCAACGGTTCAGGCTGGTGGTGGTGGTGTCATGGTGTGGGGAATCTTTTCTTGGCACTCTTTGGACCCCTTGGTACCAATTGAGCATCGTTGCAACGCCACAACCTACCTGAGGATTGTTGCTGACCATGTCCATCCCTTTATGACCACAATGTACCCAACATCTGATGGCTACTTTCAGCAGGATAATGCGCCATGTCATAAAGCTGGAATCATCTCAGACTGGTTTCTTGAACATGACAATGAGTTCACTGTACTCAAATGGCCTCCACAGTCACCAGATCTCAATCCAATAGAGCATCTTTGGGATGTGGTGGAACGGGAGATTCGCATCATGGATGTGCAGCCGACAAATCTGCGGCAACTGTGTGATGCCATCATGTCAATATGGACCAAAATCTCTGAGGAATGCTTCCAGCACCTTGTTGAATCTATGCCACGAAGAATTGAGGCAGTTCTGAAGGCAAAACGGGGTCCAACCCGTTACTTGCGTGGTGTTCCTAATAAAGTGGCCGGTGAGTGTACGTTAGAAAGCTGTTCATCGACTTCAACTCAGCATTTAACACTATCATCCCCCAGCAGGTGGTAGAAAACCTGGTGCTTGGTGCTCATTTAGGGGTGTAAATCACCAGCTTTATCATGATATAATATTACATCGATTTGTTTGGATGACGATTCAATATTTCTCGATATCACAAAGTCTATCATGATATGATTTCGATTCAATTCAATTCACGTCTGCAATCGATATAATGCAATAACAAAATCCCATCTAACACAATGACTGTGTTAGATGGGCATATGAAATCAGTTCACATCAAGCATTTGATGATGATATAGATCGATATTTTCATTTTGCCTTGATATAACTGAATCATGAACTATTCAAATCGATATATTGTTATAGATCAATGTATCATTACACCCCTAGTCTCAGCACACACACACTTGTTACTGGATCTTGGACTTGTTGATCCAATGACCTCAATGACCTCAGTCTGTGCACATCAGCAGTAGGACCTCAGAAAAGAATCAGGCTGTGCACAGGCACCTCCCAGGGGTGTGAGCTCAGCTCACTGCTGCTCAAGCTGCTTACTCATGACTGCACTGTAAAGTCCAAACCCAACTACATCGCAGTATTTGTTTTTTACACAACTGTTGTCAATTATGTCATCAGTAACAATGATGGTCCATACAGAGTGGAAGTGGCCCATCTGAGCTGGTGCCAGAACAGCAAAACTAAAGACATGGTTGTTGATCTGGGGAAAATATCGACAGATCACCTGATTGTCAGTGGCTCCGAGGTAGAAAGAGTCAAAACTACCAGATGTTAGGAATAGACAGATCCAAAGACCTAACCTGGACAACTTTAAAGGGACAACATCATCTTCACTTCTTAGGGAGACTAAAGAGAGGCAGCCTTCTGCCATTGAACCCACACACCGTCTACAGAGCTCTGTGGACGGTGATCTGATCAGCTGCATCACTTCATCGTATGGAAACAGTTACGCACAGTAGAAGTCACTGCAGTGTGTCACAAAACCAGCTGAGAGGTGTTATAGGAGGTTCCCTCCCTTCCACCAAAGATCCTTTAATCACATGCTGCGTATGCACAACCCCTCCCATGGATTGTTCAACCTGCTACTATCATGCAAGTGTTTCCATCTCATCAAAAAAAAAATTTTAAGGTTCTGCAACTACTTTTCCCACTTTGAGTGTGAACCAACTCTTAACTAACTTGCTGCACTTTTGCCCTATTGCAATATACAAAGTTGTTTGCACTGTTCACTTTCTTGGCTCATATCATTTATTCATGCCCATTTCATGCTGGAGTTAGGATGGAAAAACATTCAGTTCAGCTTCATACCATGCATGTATCAGAATGACAACAAAGCTTATTTGATTTGAACAAAATTACAACTTGCAAAACTATTTCTTTTTTAAAACATACATTTAAAAAATGGGAAAGGAACACTTAAACACTTTAAAAAATTTTATGACATCATGGCCTTAATGACAGCTACTTTGGTGATTGTAGACTCACCATGAGAGCATCGGAGGCACACACACTGTGGAAGCCATGGTAGAAGGCAGCAAACTGCTTATAAATGGATTTATTCAGCAGGAAGTCAACGTAGAGCTGGACGTACTCTGTGGAAAAGAGAAAATAAGAGGTTTTTAATTTTTCCATGACAAAGTTTTACCCACCAAACCTTCAGTCTTGCTGCTCATAATGATGCTGGTGAAGAACTGGGCCTGAAGACCAATAGGAGTTACTGGAAGGGAAATCATTTTTAATTGTTTATGGATTTTATCCATCTGTGAACATAAAGACACTTCTAGGCTGAGTCAGGTTTGATTACATCTGCACACATGAGCTGAAATGATGCAAACTTTGCCGAGAGAGACTTGCTCACCAAAATGCATAAACTGGACAAGGAGGGCTTTATTTAGAAAAGCAACCAAGAGGCCAAACATAACCTTGATGAAACTGGGCGGTTTTTCTGCAGAAATGAATCACTGTAAGCTGCACAGAGCTGGGCTTCATGAAAGAGTGGCAAAAAAGAAATTGGCTTTTATTTTTAAAAAAATAAGGCTTTGGAGTTTTTTCTTTAGTTATGTGGTCAGACGAGACGAAAATGTAACTTTTTGTTCACCAAGGACAGCACCATCTTGTTCAAACCTAAAACGAGGTGATGGTAGTATCTTGCCATCAGGATGCACTTGGTCATTTTTAAATTTCAGTGGAAGTCATTTAAAGCTAAACTTTGACATTCCAGCCATGACTGGAAGTGGACTCACCCTTCCGGTTCTGCTTTGTGACAGGAATTTTGTCTCCTCCAGGTTTCAGGTTGTAGGATTTGACAACACCCATCTCTTCCTGGAACACCTAAGAACCAAACACAAATAAACACAATTCAAACTCGCATCTGTGCAAACAAGCAGATGGACGATGACTCAAAGGAGATCTCAAAAGAGTGCTGAAAGTTCTCACTTTGCAATATTTACGAGGTGAAATGAGCAAACTAATTTTGTCAGTGAAACAAAAGAGTCACACCACACTCCCCAGTCTGGTTTCCTGCGCTCATTTTCTCACCAACAATGGTTTTAGTTACTCGCTTGGTGAGTTTCAGACTAAGGAGTTTTAAATAGCATGCTGACCTGTATGAGAGCAAGAATCCACAAGGCCATTCATTGTGGAGCAAACACTCTGGTTTCTTGTCTTTTTTTTATAAAAAAAAATTAAAAAACAGTTTATTTTGTATTTGGATTAAGTTTATATACAGTATTTGTTTCAGGATAGAGTGTTATTATTCTGTCATTTTCAGGCTGAAGCTGCACACTTGAACAAGCCAAGGGCTTTCTGGAAAAAAAGTTGGATGATCAGACAAGATTGAGATGTTTGAGCACAATGACCAGTGGTCAGATTTATAAAGGATTGGAAACCATACTAAAAGTGAACGTACGGCCAAAAGACGAAAATGGCGTATGCCAAAAAAAATTCAGATTTATAAAACCATACGTACGCATGTTTCTGCGCATCTTTCTTGTATAGATCACAGCTGTACCTCAGTGTTTGCACACAAGGTCCCGCCTCAGGTTCTAACACACCCACATTCAACCATAAACAGTCAATGCAAAGCACCTCATGAATGTTAAGATGTATTTAAATCAGTCAGCTGATCAATGTCAAAAAAAGTGATTGGCCGACTCAGACTCGCTCCATCGTGTGTCTGAGGATGACAGATGCTGACTGACAGCTGCTCACGTGAACAGAATGTCTGTAATTGACACAGATTTTCCCTCACTTTGCAGGTTTACAGACATTTAGAGTAATGTAACAATTTTTTCCCAAAAACTCAGCTTCAAATTAATTTTCTCTCAGAGCCTGCAGTATGATAAAACAATAAATAAAATAAAATAAGTCAGATAAAGTTAGAAATAGGTTCAGCGCTCTTCACCCTGTCCTCTCACCCTCTTGTTATCATTGTGCTGTTCATAGCCTGTATGTTTGTTGCCTTGCCTTGCCTTGCTACACCAAGTTAGTTTTTGAGCTGCCCTGTCAGCTTTCTTTGTTAAATAAATCACCTTTTTTGCCTTTTTGGATTTTTGCCTGTGCTATGGGTTCATTCCTGCCTGAAAATCATAACAGTGTGGCTCTAATTCTTCACTTCACCGTCTGTGTCGCATCTTCACATCTCCAAAATGAGTGTACGCATGGGTCAAAGCTGGCGTGAGGCACCGCACATTTTAAGTCAAGTTTGGATTTTATAAATCACAACCTTTGCATGAATAGTGGTGTACGCAGGCTTTATAAATCTGTTTATAAAAACAGTGTTTTATACAGCAAATCAAGTAATCATGTTAAAAATCAGGTATTCGTGTTAAAATTATAGTTCCATTTGCATCAGTCGAGTGAACAGATTAAAGGCCTCCAAACCAAACTCTCAGGCTGAATTAAACCTCAGTCCTCTCCTAACCTTGAGTGGAAAATGTCTGACTTAACTCGTAACATTTTTGACTGAACATAAATCATAAAATGCTTTTCATGGAATTCAACAGTTACTCTAAACATAACATCTGATCAAGAAGATGTTTAATACTGACATAATCAACCTTTACATCTGACAGAGGTTTATAGTCATCATAGTTATGTTCTGGTGAAGCATGTAGCCAACAGGATGCAGGAATAGGTGAAAGTCCTCAACACCAACCCCCCCACGCCTTCACCTCACTCTCACGTTTTTGGAAAAATTGGCAGTCCTGAGGACCCGGTCGACTCTATTAAAGCAGCTGCAGCTCAGAAGGTCACATTTTAATCTAAAAGTCACTGTTTCAGTCTACATCCCTGCAAGATTAAAGATGATTTAGTTCATGTTCTACAGCACAAGCCCAAACAAAAACCTCTGAGATGAATCTAGAACTTGTTACAAACATATATCTGATAAAAGGGATAATTCTTTAAATACAGATGTGGACAAGGAGAATGTAGAAATGACTCAGTCTGCGAGTGAAAATGTGGATGAAGGACAACAGAGCTGCTTCATGGATGGGAGAACGTCAGTTTAGCCTTTTAGCTTTTTCGCTAGCACTAACTCTATATCGCCATATATTTGTAATAGTTTGTAGCTAGTGTAAAAGCTAACAGGCTAAACTGACGTTCTCTAAATCAAGCAGCTCTGTTGTTCATCCACATTTTCAATTGCAAGCTGAGTCATTTCTACCTTCTCCTCTCTGTCAATGTGCTGTGCTTTCATTTATAAGGGCTGATTGTCGGATATTGTCCAAGATTAACCTTCAGGGTGAAGCTTGCAGCCTCGCATGGACAGCCTTGTCTATGTCATCACTTACCCAGTAAGCTTTGCAGCATTATACATATTTTTAATTTGTAAAAACTAAACAGCCTACAGTAATTTTTTTATTTTAAAGTTAAAATAAATGTTTATCAAATAAAGTGTAATGTTACAAGTAATTGTGGATCCCATTAATAACTATTTAAAACTGCAATAAATGTAGATCAAGTGAATCTGAAACCAGTTGGAGTCTTAAAACAAGTAGATTTGAAAGAACAAGTAATTAACCTCACAATTAAAAATAAAGTTTAAACACATGTAGAGCTGTCTCACTCTGATTGGGCCATCTGGGATGCAAACTGGGAATGAAACCGGAAAGGGATTTAAAAAAAATGTGAAAACTGGATCAACAAGAACACTGTAGGAATATATTAAGTCTTCATTTTCTTAAAGGTCTTCAACTCTTGGGTCTGAAATGTGACCAATCTGCCTGATGTCACGAACAGATTTGATCCAGACCTGCTGTGGTCTAATATCCTTTTATTAAAATCACACAGTGGTGGAAACGGTCCCATGTGTTTGTGAGCACTGTTACATCATGACATCTTTGTGTCACTTCTCACAATAACTGCAAGAGGGGGATGAGTAAAGGATTTATAATTTAGCTCACACTGTTGCATGATGAAAACTGCATAGCTTCTGTCTGTTACTACCTGCTGACACCCTGTCCTCTACATAGCACCCCCAGTCAGAACTGTGTCTCGCAGGCTATGGGACGCAGTGTGTGACTGGTGCAGTGCATGCTTAATCAGCATGTCATTTAGATGAAATGGTCTGCTTCCAGTTATTAGTATCAAGAAGTACAGCTTTTAGAACAAACAGACTGGATTTGCTTGACTCAAAACTTCTGATTATCGAGTGAAAAAAACAACCTTTATCTGTCTTGTGTTGTTGTTTAGAGGCTTAGATACGTATGCATAACTTATGCTATAGAGGGAGTGCAATGGGAGGCCAGAGGGAGGAATAACGGTGATTTATTCCCCATGTTTCCAGGCATATAAACACTCAGTGAGAGAAAGCTGTCCAATATTACGTAATGACAGATATGTTGTCTCATGTCTTGTTGAAGTACAAATATTTATTGTTGTGGAATACTGATTATGTATCACCTGGACACTGTCCACTCGTTCCTGTTCCTGTTCCTGCAGATATGAACACTTGTTCATATCTTGTGATATCCTTCCGGATGTCAGCATCAAGCTGACCTACTTCATGTATCAGGATGAGGCAGATTCTGATTGGTTGTTCATTATCACATGATGTTAGCTGACAGTATAACAT